TTAAATCTCATGCCGGACAACAAATGCCCCCAAATATATACTGTACTTCTCGGTAGCAAGACAAACGACTAGGCTACGTTTAAGGTGCTTCTGATCGAGATAAATCCGGAAGTCTTCAGAAGGCGACGGCCAGGTCTTTTCCTCCAGGTTAAATTAAATTGGAATAAACCGCCCAGACCTGTTAATACGTTTTAAAAATTTCGGCTCCGTAATAAAGAAAGAAAAAAAAAACACACACACAAGAAAAATCTTACTTTCCGTCCTTTTTCAGCTATCAAGAAGTAATAAAGCACAGCTAATTTACTGCACAGGCCGAACAGGCATTGCAGTCGTTTGAGGGCACAACGCACTCTTCGGGTTTCTCCTAAAGCTGTCCTCCTGATTAGCTGAAATTGAAATTCCCTACCTTTAAACTGGTTTCATTCCGCTGTCTCTGGAGATTCTCAGTCATCCAGGTCATAGAGCTGAAGAAGCTTCTTGGATGAGAAGCGAAACGTCTTCAAAGAAAAATCAAGGAAGTCCAGTTGCGGCGGGGGCGGGGGGAGAGAGAGAGTTTCCTTCCACTGTTAATCTCGACATATTTAGGATCGATCTGCACATAGATAAATCTAGGTCACCACACGGTGCTAGCCCCATTCTCACGACTGATGTTGTGCTGGGGTTCTGCTTGCCTCCACTCTGGAAGAACACCGATACGAGGGGCTCCCCATTTGGTGAATGAGGTATGGGAGCAGGCAGCGAGGAGGGAGATAAAGAAGCACCCCAGAGGGTATCAATCCCATCCTTTGGGCTGAAGATCGAAACCCCCAAGATTCGACTCAGAATAAATTAATTTTATTCGCAATGTAAGGAAAGAAAGGATGCGATCCATTAACACGTGGGGAAAGTATAAGAAGTAAGTGTCTATGTGGAGAGTCTCAGTCGTCCAGGTCAGGGTTGTCCCAAAGGTGCTTTTTTTTTCAAGAGGCAACTGGACTTCCTTATTTTTCTTTGAGGACCACTTTGAAGACAGCTGGTCATTTGCACTCCTCGGGTGACCCTGAGGACACAGGTAAACCTCCAAATGGTCTCAAGGACTCTCTAAAGCAGGGGTCCTCAACCTTGGCAACTTTAAGACTTGTGGACTTCAACTCTCAGAATTCTGGGAGTTGAAGTCCACAAGTCTTAAAGTTGCCAAGGCTGAGGACCCCTGCAAGTCTAAAGGATGCAAATGACCAGCTGTCTGCAAGGAGTATAAATCCTTCCCTTCCCCACCATCCAGTCAGAGTTGAAGAAGCTTCTTGGATGAGAAGCGAAACGTCTTCAGAGAAAAACAAGAAAGTCCAGTTGTCTCCTGGAAAAAAAAAAAAAAAACACCTTTGGGCATAAGAAGTGAGGGCTACCAAATCGGAGCAGCCAAAAGTCGGTACGACCGCTTGGTGGCAGCAGAGAGAAAACGAAAACCCTTTGCTGTCACCTACCGATCGCCCCCGTTTTTTTGAGGCCAAATCTTCTCTAGTCTAGCCGTCAGTGGCGGCAAGCCTTTGTCCTCCGAGTTAAACAACGTTTGAATTCAATTCCCAGAGAGTGGGTTAGACACGAAAGTGGACTCAATCAGGGAAAGGGACGGGCTTCTTTATGCTGCCAGTCTGGGCGGCCGAAGATCGAAGGAACCGATAGACGTTCTGACTGTGTGTGAGAAAACACACACAAGCACACACACACCCCGCACACACATAGAGTCAGCCCTTAACTGGCGGTCGCTCCGCGTTACTTTCCCCACCACCACCCACTTCACGGAGCATAACATATATTGTCTGGAAAAAATATTTGATGGGGGGGCGCGAATGCCTCTTTGCTCGTGAACCTTCGCCGGGAGTGCAAGGCGCCTTTTTGCCAAGGAAGCGGCCCCCCGTGGAAAGCCAGCAAAAAAAAAAAGGTCACCTGAAGAGGAAGGAAGGAAGGACTCGCAGACGCCCCTCGAGAAGGAGGCTCCGGGAAATCCAGTCCCGGGGACAGCGAGCGAGTTTAAAATTGGGGATGGGGGCGTTTTGGGGGGGGGGTGATGGGTGGTTGGGTGGTTGGGATATTTCCCGGAGATTTCTAGCCACCGTTTGGTCCTCCGCGGGCTCGGTGGCTTCCCACTCGGAATTCTTTCAGAAGAGATTAATTCCCAGGATCAGGGTGGCTGTGTGTGTGTGGGGAGGGGGGGTTAGTGGGAGATTCCGCCTGGGCCCCCAGCAAGTGGATACAGAGACAGGCACCACGCGAGCGCGCATCCGCACCCGGGCAAATTACCTCCTTCCCTGCTTTTGTCTTGAGCTTCGTCGTAATTTTCTTAGCTGATTGTTTTGTTTTGTTTTGTAGGTACAATCAAGCCATTTTCAGGCCCTCTTTTTTTTTTTTTCCTAGCGACCGAGGGGGCGGGCGATCTGGAAGAAGCTGTCGACGCCTGTTCAGTTAATTTAACTTTACTTTGTCTAATTACCGGCCTAGCTTAGGGAAAGGAGCCCGGCTCAGGACGGTAAACTGACACTTGGGCTCGGTGGGTGGTATAAGCCCGGCGGAGGGTCGATGATGGAAAAAGCCTGCTTCCACTCAGCTCCTCCAGGTCACTGTCTGAAAGCGGCAATGGCAGCACCAACCGCCGCCCCTCCCCTCCCTTGCCTTCCCCGCCCCCTTCCCCGCGCCCCCCGGAGCAGCTCGGAGCAGCACCACCAACGCTGAGGCGGCTTAAGGCTCACCCAGAGAGCCAGCTGGCCTCGGGAGCTTCAGCTGCACGCGTGCAAGCGCGGGAGATTTGAAGGGTCCCTGGCCCCCTCCTCGCTTGAGGAGTGGGTTGGCAACTTCACCCGAAAGCAGGCCAAGAGGGGAGCCGGCTCCTTTTCTGGGGCCTCCGTCCCCATCTGAAAGGAGCAACGTTTGGGAACCTCTCTAACCCGTGGGAACATTGGTGGGTGAGATTTCTATCTTGGATTGCCCGGAGAGTCGTTTTATCCTCTTCCCAACATCCCTGTCAAAGAGGATGGTTGGCCTCAGGACCATCCAGTAAGTTGCCGTGGCTGGTAGGAGCCTGGCTTTCCTCAGTCCTGGGTCAATACCCAGCCCAATTGCCCACACCGAAGCGCTTTGGCGATGGAATCAGTTCCCAACTTGATGAAATAAATCGAAGACTGTCAACCCTACATGGTCCTGACTTCTAGGGTTGGAAAGGCCAGACTTGAGTTGCTCAAAGTGCTGGGATCTCATCTTCAGGTTCAAAGCTGATTGGGTTCCTTTGGTTTGGCTTCGTCGTCAGAACTGAGAGAATTTGGTCTGGAGGTGGGAGACGTGAAGATGTTCAAATCAAAGTTCAAATCCATCCTTGGACTCATTCCATGAGGGAAACCATAATCTGGGTTGTGTTGTATTGTAAAATGGAGCTCTAGGTATATCAGATTCAGCGCAATGAAATGCCCCAGAATCTTTTCAAGTGGATCTTCCATAGAAAACCATTATTTGTGAAATGCCCTTCCCTCTTACAAATCTTTCCAGCTCCAGCTACAAAAGGACTGAATCTCCATTTCTAATATTAGCTTTATGCAGAGGGAACAAGAACACGGAAGGCATGCAGGATTCTAGAAGACCTTTAAATAACCTTTTCAGCTCAGGGCAAATTCACTAGAAAGCCTCAGTTTTCTATCTGTGAAATTGAAGTAGTGGTCTTGCCTTCCCAGGATTTGCCCTAGAATGGCTGAACCCTGTGTACATGTGTGTGCGCACGTGCACAGCCTTTGAAAAACGATGGGGGAAATAAATGGCGAGCAGAAATGGGAAACGGGTGAGCCAGGGTTTCTTGCCTTGAAAGAAAAGGAATGCGGGAGTTTAGCGGGGGGGGAAGGTCCGTATTTCCAACCTTTCAAAAGAAATGAATCTATTCCGAGGGCTGGCCTGCCCTCGAAATAGATTCACTGCTTTCGATCCACGGAATCAGTGGCGGCCCCAGATGCTAAGTGCACCTGCGGGGTTTAAGTGGACCGTCACACCTGAGGCCACTTGTATCCAAGGTGAAAGCTTTCCAGGTTCATTTCTGCCTTCTGCTAAGAGGTACCAGCACTTCAGGATGGGGGGGCTACACATCTGCAAATCTGCCCCTGGCTGAAAGTTAAGGGCGACCGTCCTGCCCTTTGGCTTCTGAAAGGGGTCTAAGCGCTGCACCTCGTCCAGAAGCGTCAGGTTTTATTGCCAAGGATCTAGAGTTGAGAAGAAGCCCCACCGGATTGGATTGCCGGGTGCCTTCGCTCCAAGCTTAGACTGCATTGTCAAAGCCTCGGAAAAGGCGCCGGGTGACCGGAGGGGCGACGCTCTCCAAAGGAGGACAAACGTTCCCGCTCGGGAAAGCGAATTCAGCCCCTGGGAGCCTCCTGCCAAACAAGACAATTCCGCAACGCTGGCACCGCCTCATGCCAAGCGAAAGGAAAGGCGGTGGCAAAACGCCGTTACCGTGGGAGCCCGGTGCCAGGCGTGTGGCTGGGAGACTCGGCAAGTGTCTAAAGGGCAAGTTGATGGATGGCATAATTGCGTGTACAGAAGATGGCAGCCAGAGGGGATCTGGAGCCTCCGCGGGGAGCCCGCAGGCCTGGAGGCGGGGGCGGTGGACAGAAGCCAGCTGGAGTGGAGACGAGACCGCCCGCCTCTCCTCGCCTCGCCTCTCCTCTTCCTTCGGCTTGAGTTGTGGGATAAATTCAGCTGAGCAGGAGAAGGGGGGGAAGGGAGGGGAAGGAGAAGGGGTTTCCCTCCCTCTCTTTTCCTCCTGCGCCACCTCCCTCCCCCTCCCCTTTCCCCAGGCGATAGCCCTCCGCAGATTTTGTTTGGCCGCGCCGCCTTAACGCAAAAGCGGCGCAGGGGTTTGATGGATTTCCTCTTCTTTAAAGGCTTCGGGAGGCCACCAGGCAGGGGGCAGAGAGCGGAGTCCGGGAGAACTGAAGGCTGCTGAGCCGGGGGGGGGGGAGAGGAGGAGGAGGAGGAGGAGGAGGAGGAGGAGGAGGAGGAGAAAGAGAAGGAGGGGGGGTCAGACGGCAGAGGCAGAGGAAGGAGGGAGGGAAGGGGCGCTGGGCTTGTGTGTGAAAGAGCGAGCGAGGCCGGGAGCGGCTGAAAAGCTTGCGCAAGGGAGGAGGCAGAGATGTTCAGGGCGCCGCTGCCAGACCGCTGAGGAGGTGGCCCAGGAGGAGCAGCAGCCTCCATGAGCTCCGAGATCGGGGCCCCGGTGCCTCGCAGCCCGGCCTTGATGAACCAGCCGCCGCCGCCGCTGCCTCCCTCCGCCCTGGAGACGTCCAGCACCGGCAGCAGCACCTCTACAACCCCCGGCGGCGGAGGAGGAGGAGGAGGAGGCGGCGGCGGTGGCGGCGGCGCTTCGGCGTCCGCGCCCTCCAAAACCAAGAAGGCCAGCTCGGGACTGCGCCGGCCGGAGAAGCCGCCTTACTCGTACATCGCGCTGATCGTCATGGCCATCCAGAGCTCGCCTTCCAAGCGGCTGACGCTGAGCGAGATCTACCAGTTCCTGCAGGCCCGCTTCCCCTTCTTCCGCGGCGCCTACCAAGGCTGGAAGAACTCGGTGCGGCACAACCTCTCCCTCAACGAGTGCTTCATCAAGCTGCCCAAAGGGCTGGGCCGGCCGGGCAAGGGCCACTACTGGACCATCGACCCGGCCAGCGAGTTCATGTTCGAGGAAGGCTCCTTCCGACGACGCCCGCGGGGCTTCCGAAGGAAGTGCCAGGCGCTCAAGCCCACCATGTACCACCGCATGGTGAACGGGCTCGGCTTCCTCCCGCAGGGCTTCGACTTCCAGGCGCCGCCGGCCGCGCCCCTGGGCTGCCACCCCGGCGGCTACAACCCCCTGGACGTGATGCAGGCCGGCGCCGCCTACGACGCCCACCACGTCCCGCACATGTCGCCTAACCCGGGCTCCACGTACATGGCCAGCTGCCCGGTCCCGTCCAACGGGCCGGACTACGGGCCGGACAGCAGCAGCAGCCCCGTGCCTTCCTCGCCCGCCATGGCCAGCGCCATCGAGTGCCACTCGCCCTACGGCAGCCCTGCCGGACACTGGACGGCCTCGGCCGCCTCGCCCTATCTCAAGCAGCAGGCCCTGCAGCCGCCGCCGCCGCCGCCCGCCGCCGCCGCCGCCGCCCCGGCCGGCATCCACTCGGGAATGGCCTCCTACTCGCTGGAGCAGAGCTACCTGCACCAAAACGGCAGGGAAGACCTCTCAGGTACCGCAGCCGCCCCGTCCGGTCCGGTCCCTCCCTCCTTCCCTCCCTCCCTCCCTCTGCCCCGAAGCGAGTTGCTTGGTTTTCCAAAGGCTGGATGAGGCCTCTTTCCTGGGAATCTGGAAAGAAAACACTCCCCGGAGGTTTTTTGTTTTCTTCCAGAGCCAGATTCGGTTCTCGGGAGGGCAGGAATCAAAGGCATGCGCGTACTTTGAAGCCCCGAGACTAAGCTGGCTGAATTGAAAGAATTCCGTGGAACAATTTATCCCCGAGTCAATATTGCCTTGCCCTCCCCCCCCCCAGCAATGGGAATGGCTCCGGTGGGGTGAATCTCACCCTCTGGGAGCCAGAAGGACACCCTCCCTTCCCTTCTCTGTCCCTAGTTCCAGGCACCCTACAGTTACATTTGGAAATCCCACTCCTTTGCGACTTTAAGGGCCGCCTAATAGTCTATATAGACGGTCCGATCCTGTAGAGAAAGACTTGAGTTTGAAGTCCGTAGCCAGCCCGCAATCTGTTGTTTGCAGGATATTCGCTGCGTACTAACTTGGCAGTCAGAGTCGCTTATATAGGGGGTACTTTAAGTCAGAGGGTGTAAAATTCGGCAGTCGTGGGTGTTTTCCTACTCACGTATATAGATTGAAGAATTGCACTCTTGAAGGGGATAGAGAGAAGGAAGGGAGCCGCTTCTAAAAGCAAGTCCTAAGGCGGGATGGTGGGGTGGGGATGGGGAGGAAGAAGAGAGAGGAATCTGGCTGCGATCCTAAGCAAACTTACTGGTGCTCAGAATCGCAGCCAGATCGGGACCTTGGATAGGAACGTTGGATTTGTGTATGCTGCCGTTTGGTATTTGATCTAGGTTCTTTTTGCTGTGTTCGAGTATAATTGACTTGATAGAGATGTGTGTCTGTCTGTCTGTTCAAGGGGAATTGCACTGTTTCTCACACCTCAAAGTGAAATTTAAGGTACATTTTTTAAAAACAACAACAACAACAACCCCAAATCACAAAATTTTCTCCTGAGTGCTAAAGAGGGGGAAGAAACACACAAAACCCCTCCGCCCTGCTCAAGTTAAGTTGTAGCTGTCAGATAACAAGCCGGGAAGGTCCTTCTCCGCTACAGATGTTTTCAGAGAAAACACCAGCTTTGGAGTAAGAAAGCAAAGGTTTTCCGGGGGGGGGGAATGGGGCGAGAGGAACAGGCACGATTGTTGCGGGGTCAGGAGAGTAGAACTGGGTTAAGGAGAGAATATACATCTGCAGGCATCTTGGAATGTTCAAGATCAGTCTCGAATTCCATTGTTAGATGCCTCCTTCCACCCTGGGTCCAAATCTTAGTTCATTAATCAACCCCTTGGCGGCGACGAGGTCGTCGCATCCAGGAGCTTCTCCACACGAAAGTGCCAGAGTGATGTGGTGTTTATTAAACGCAATTCTTCCCCACTGTTCCTGGCACCCACACTCTCTCACACACGCACCCCGGAGTGAAAAGGCGCCTGCCGTTTGGACAACTCTTAAGGCTGCCGTTGGGAGCACCTGGTGTTTCTTAATCTCTCCCCCCCCCCCCCCGGGGACCGTACCAAACTCCTCAGCCTCCTCTTCAGGCAAGGCTGAATGGCCGAGGTAACACACACACACACACACACACACACACACACACACACTCGATGACGACGACTTCTCATTCAACGCTGTTCTTCCCGGAAAACCTGGGTAGGAAAGCGGAGGCTGCGAGAATCCCTTTGGCAATAAGGGATCGAGAGGCAGAAAGGAAGGAAGGAAGGAAGGAAGGAAGGAAGAAAGAAAGAAAGAAAGAAAGAAAGAAAGAAAGAAAGAGAGAGAGAGAGAGAGAGAGAGAGAGAGAGAGAGAGAGAGAGAGAGAGAGAGAGAGAGAGAGAAGAGAAGAAGAAGAAGAAGAAAGAGAAGAAAGAAAGAAATACGGGATGCACTCACGCAGGGAGAGAGAGGGAGAGGGAGAGGGAGGGAGAGAGAGGGAGGAGAGAGAGAGAGAGAGAGAGAGAGAGAGAGAGAGAGAGAGAGAGAGAGAGAGAGAGAGAGTTGCAGACACCGGGAGTTAATAAATCAAACAGGATTCCGTCCCAGGCCCCTACGAATTGGTCCCTTGGAGTGGCTGTTGCGTCCGGGTTGTTTAAGTTTGCCATCCTGCAGACGTCTGCGCGGAAGGAGGCTTCCGACAGCGGCGAAGTAGGCTTTTTAAACTCCTGACTCTCGAGGATCGGTTAACACATCAGGGTTGTGTTGTTTCAGTTCCTTGTGAAATCACCCCGAAAGCCTTCCCTTGCTTCCCAGGCTGTGTGTTCCTACGTAGATAGCGCTCAGCTATATTACTATATTTTCCCCCACCCCCCCCCCCCGGCAGAATTTTGCTTGGTTGAAACCCTTTCTCTCTCTCTCTCTCTCTCTTCCCCAGAGGGAGAAAACGCTAAATCTCTTTTGTAGGCTTTGTTTTTTTAAAAAAAATAAAATACTCTCAGTGTTGTACCGGGCTAATTGAAAAAAAAAGGGGAATTGCGAGGCGTTCTGCAGATGTTATGGGAGAAAGGAGCCGAGTTTTTTCCCCCGCATTTTCTTCCAAAATGCAAAAGATGGGTGCTTGGGTTATTTCTATAACTGGAAAGAAGTGCGGAGATCTTCTCTTCGCAATATGTTTTTTTTTTTTTTGGAATGGCCTTGAAAAAATCTGGGAGAAAGAATGAGAAAGAGGAGAGAAAATAAGGCTCCGAAATGGGTAAAAGATGTTGAGCTGGGATCGGGAGGGGAAGAGGAGGAGGAGATGGATTCTCCAAATAACCTTTTTTAAACGTGGGTCTCGGAGGTTAACTAAACAAAGACAGTCTGGGCTGGACCACACCGAAGGGAACTGGAGCTTGACTTAACCCAGATGAGAGCGAGGTCTTGTTCAATTTTATGGGAATTTCAACAAGTAACAAATGCAGACGACCTTGTCCAGGGCTTGGGTTTTCTCGTCGGTGACCTGCTGTCAATCAGCTGGCAGAAGCTTTTCCTGCAACTTGCCCTCCTTTTTAACTGGTGTGTGTGTGTGTGTGTGTGTGGGTGTGTGTGTGTGTGTGTGTGTGTTGAAAACCATCCGTTCCTGAAAAATCTTTCTTAAAACTGATGTAATAATAGCGTTAATGTTAACAACAACAGAAGCGACTGAGTAGAATTGGGGAAAAAAAAAAAAAGATTTTTAACACAGGAGCCTGAAAAACATTCTTTCTCTCTCTCTTCCTGCCTCTTTCCGTGCAGTTCCTAATGCCTCCGTTCTGAAGAGCTAAATATAATTTCGATGGTTGACTTTAATGAACACACAACACATAAACAAAATGCCCCGATCCGAATTGTACGTGAAGTATACAGCTGCTCAGTAAAATGCAATTTCTTTTCCTCCTAAGTTTCGATTCTCTCCTTTTTCTTGATCGTTAAAGGGCCGTAATCAGAATAATCTCACCAATACCTAACTAGGCATCTCTCCTTAAAGGAGCGGCGGAGTTGTAGTCTTATCCCTAACCTGGTTTAACCACCCTGCAGCCGGCCTCAAACTCGGTGGGACTCTGGATAGGCCTTCGCCTTTCTATTGGCTTCTACACCGGCCGACTTGTTGCTTGTCTCTAGGTTCCCCAGGTGTAACAGAGGGGATAAGATAAGATAAGATTTCAGTATTTACTCCGAGGTTTGCTCTCCGAGAAATGACCATTAGCTCTGGAGCTTAATACAAGCTTTTTCCCGAGGCACGATTGCCCCACAGATACTCAGAAAGGTATTCCCTGAGATCACTTAGACCCTCCTAAATAAGACCTGTACCCATCCCTAAGAAGTCACAGGACCCCAGAGTTTTCCTATTTCCGATTTTTAAACATAGGGGTGTGTGTGTGTGTGTGTGTGTGTGTGTGTGTCTGGGCGCGAGCATGTGTGTATTTAGGAGAGGAAATCTACCCTGCTTAACCCGAAGTGTGAACTCTGAGTGTGGACCCTTTTACTTAGATAGGGTGTAAAGGATTTCCCACCCCTCCCCCCCCACATTCGGATAACCTTTTAACTGAGTAATTCTCAGACGAAGTGATCTTTTAATTATCCTAGCCGGCTTTCCAAGACAGCTAATGCCTACGTATAATTAGAAAGCAAAAGATCGTTCTTTCAGAGTTAGCAGCCACAACTTTGTGGTTCCTGTCGACTGGAAACCTCAACCTCGCAGGTGTCCCAAAGGTGCTTCCCCCCCCCCAAAAAAAAGCAAGTGGACTTTCTTGATTTTTCTTTTCTTGAAGACGAGGGGGCCGTTCAAGATTCTGCGTAGTAGTGGAATCGCCTGAAGGGCTACAAAAAAGAAAAGAAAAGGAGTCCTATTTAAACCAACGAGGCTTTCCAACATATTTAGCCAATAGACTGGAATCGTTAAAAGCCAGGGCAGGATTTGGGAGTGTGGAGCTGACAGGGCTATGCAAAAAGCCATGGGTGAAAGGTCACATCGGAAGGGTCCCGAGCAGATCTCCTGCAGAGGAGATCTGCAGAGGAAAGAATCAGTTCCCAGCCTCAAGGCCTACCGCCCTGGAGAGGACAAGAGAGATTCCTCTAACCCAGTTTCCAAACTCTTGAGTATGGGATCGAAACCAGCCGTTCCGGAGGGGCGGGGGCTGGGTGTCTCGAAAATTCGCCCAGGACATTTCGCCACCCCTTGCTAGAAGGTCTCGGAGCCCTACGTGGGGACTCTCCAGTGGGCCATGTTCTAGGCCGGAGGGGAACCCCCTCTTTTTCCCCCCCAATTGCGAGCCTTACAGCAAACCGCCCGCTATTTTTAAGCGCGGTCTAGTTGAGAACACTTCCACCATCAGCTCTTTGAGCCTCTAGAATTGTTAGCCCTGAGAAAGGCCGAGCAAGACTGGAATCAGAGACCCCCGTTTTTCGGAGGCTTAGAAGGGGGGGAGGAGGAAGAAGGGGAGAGTCGGGAGGTGTTTATTATTATTATTATTATTATTATTATTATTA